TTTTACTTAAATATTTTTTTTACCCTAAATTATTTTTACCTAAATATTTTTTACCTAAATTATTTTTACCTAAATTTTCCTATCACCTAAATAAATATTTTTCCCTATTTTCTTAAGTAAATAACCCTTTGCACCCGCGAGTGGTGAGTATGAGTATCCGTTAAAAATTGTTGCGTAACAATTAATCCGATGAAGATTTTTTTCGAATGAGAATTCGATCTCGAACGAGATTTTATTCGAATAATAATTCATTCAAATAAGATTTTATTCGAATAAGAATTCATTCATGCAAGAATCGATTCCGAGAATAATCGATTCGAACAAAAATTATAGAATCCAGCGTTTTTTCCCCATAGTTCATTGATTAATCCCATCAATATTAATTTTCGCAATTAACTTTTATTGAAACCACCGCATCGGAAAGTTTGTTCCTTTTGGATCGATTGATCGTCGATGCATAACTAAATGATCTCCCTCGGGTGCAATATACGCTGTAAAAATTATGTAAAAATTTAAAAAATCGGTCGAGAAGTATTTACATTATTATTCGAATAATTTTGCAATTCCTCTTCGAAAAATTTTCCAATTTCCGTTGGAACAATTTATTCGAATCAAATATTCCACCATAAGGAATTCATTCGAATAATTCGTTTCGACAAATATTTATTCGAAACGATTCGAACAATCGTCAACACTGTTGTCATCATAGAGCATCGTAGTTAACAAATCAGTGATACAATAATTTTGTTTCGATCATTCAAGCCTTGCGGTTTGATTTAATAATCCCCAAATTGTCCATTTTCGTGCGCAATCCGAGCGAAAATTTGGGAGAAATTATTGAAAAATTGCGCTGGTCAACCAAATTGCACGGTGTCTCTCCGAAAGGGCGCAATTGTCGCGAGCCAGCGTGGCCCACAAATCGTCCGGCCGCGAAAGGGAAACGCCGCGGAAACGTAAGTCGCGCGTTCGGTATTATTTAGGGACAGGGGTGGCACTCGTTCCGTCGCGATCCAGACAAAAGCCGAGCTTACCCCGGCCCGTAGGCGGGCCACGGTTGTACGCCGTCTGGTTAACAGCGCGCATTGTGTCCGCCGAGAAAGGGGATCAGGTGTCAAAAGCCAACCTGAACCAACGACGCATCGTATCTCGTTATTATCTATTATACGGTCCGACCTCTCGCAGTTTTATCGCGCGCTCCTACGGCCCGCTTCTTCCGAGGACCGTCTCGCGGAGGGAATGATATCGCGCACCGGCACTCGAACGCGGACACATTGTTTCCGTTCTTTGAGATCGCGACGATAACAAATTCTCTACGATTCGCCATTGTTCCGGCTTGATTTACACGTTCAAGTGAATCCTTTACCGTAAATCGTCGAAACGAATCGATTTTTCCTTCCTCGCATTTCGCTCGAGAATACAGGGTGTCTCGTAATTAAGTAAGATTCGGAAAGGAGTGATTCCTGAGCTCATTTGTATCAGCGAAAATGGAAGCTGAGAAATTAAGGAAATACAGTGACCAATGAGAGGCGAGGTCGGCTGGTGCGAGGCGAGCCAATTAAGAAAGCGATTCCTGAGGCGATTTGAAGCAACTTTTTCCTTTGCGAAAATGCGATCCGTGGCTTCGTTTACGAGTTATTCGCGAAAAACGGTGGCCAATAGGAGGCGAGCCAACGAGCGGTCTACGCCCAGTTCCGCCGATTGGCTCGGCCGCCTAGCGCTAGGCGAGCTCTCATTGGCCGCCGTTTTTCGCGAATAACTCGTGAACGAAGCGGCGGAGAAAATTTTTGTTAAGGAAAAAGTCGCTTCGAATGATCTCAGGAATCAACCCTTTCAGGGAGTTCACATAATTATGGTACAGCCTGTGCATTATCTATCTGTGAACTGACATATACGTGCATCAATCTATAATGAATGAACAGCGAAGAGGACGCCGTACAACAGTAATTCTGCGGATAGAAAAGTCCCTTTCCTTATTCCATGATGTTAATAATGACGTCCCGGAGTGGGCAGCGGCTACGGTGCTCGCCAACAAATGCCGAAGAAATACGCAGAAAGAAAGCCGCGTCTGGATAGCTTTTCCCTCGGTTAGGTTTAATCCTCGAGCCACCTAGAGCTTTCGTCGTGACGTCCAGCAAGAAGTAGAACAATAATCCTGTCTGGTAGCACTCTCCCCGCGTTTTATGTTGCGTACAACACCGTGCTGGACCGACCGGCTTCTTCTGGGTCATCTAGGGCTTTCGCCGGACAGACCTACAAGAATTATGTAAGAAAAAATCCCCGTCCAACTAGCTTTCTCGTTGCCCTCCCCCTCTCGCTTCTCATTGGCCAGTGGTTTTTCGTTAATAACTCGTGAACGTAGCTGCGGATTCCATTTCCGCTGAGGAAAAAGTTGCTTGAAATTAACTCAGGAACCCTATTTTACTATAGTATTTCTTGGAAATACTATAGTATTTTAATTATAGTATAGTATTACTATAGTATTTCTTGGAAATACTATAGTATTTTAATTATAGTATAGTATTACTATAGTATTTCTTGGAAATACTATAGTATTTTAATTCTAGTATAGTATTACTATAGTATTTCTTGGAAATACTATAGTATTTTAATTATGGTATAGTATTACTATAGTATTTCTTGGAAATACTATAGTATTGCTTATTAACCCTCGGATGACGGGCGCGGAATCCATTTGGACCCAGAGTTGACAAACATTCCACCTAAATTCTAATTTCGTGGCAGTCGCATTATTAAATTATTAAATTANTCATTTGTATCAGCGAAAATGGAAGCTGAGAAATTAAGGAAATACAGTGACCAATGAGAGGCGAGGTCGGCTGGTGCGAGGCGAGCCAATTAAGAAAGCGATTCCTGAGGCGATTTGAAGCAACTTTTTCCTTTGCGAAAATGCGATCCGTGGCTTCGTTTACGAGTTATTCGCGAAAAACGGTGGCCAATAGGAGGCGAGCCAACGAGCGGTCTACGCCCAGTTCCGCCGATTGGCTCGGCCGCCTAGCGCTAGGCGAGCTCTCATTGGCCGCCGTTTTTCGCGAATAACTCGTGAACGAAGCGGCGGAGAAAATTTTTGTTAAGGAAAAAGTCGCTTCGAATGATCTCAGGAATCAACCCTTTCAGGGAGTTCACATAATTATGGTACAGCCTGTGCATTATCTATCTGTGAACTGACATATACGTGCATCAATCTATAATGAATGAACAGCGAAGAGGACGCCGTACAACAGTAATTCTGCGGATAGAAAAGTCCCTTTCCTTATTCCATGATGTTAATAATGACGTCCCGGAGTGGGCAGCGGCTACGGTGCTCGCCAACAAATGCCGAAGAAATACGCAGAAAGAAAGCCGCGTCTGGATAGCTTTTCCCTCGGTTAGGTTTAATCCTCGAGCCACCTAGAGCTTTCGTCGTGACGTCCAGCAAGAAGTAGAACAATAATCCTGTCTGGTAGCACTCTCCCCGCGTTTTATGTTGCGTACAACACCGTGCTGGACCGACCGGCTTCTTCTGGGTCATCTAGGGCTTTCGCCGGACAGACCTACAAGAATTATGTAAGAAAAAATCCCCGTCCAACTAGCTTTCTCGTTGCCCTCCCCCTCTCGCTTCTCATTGGCCAGTGGTTTTTCGTTAATAACTCGTGAACGTAGCTGCGGATTCCATTTCCGCTGAGGAAAAAGTTGCTTGAAATTAACTCAGGAACCCTATTTTACTATAGTATTTCTTGGAAATACTATAGTATTTTAATTATAGTATAGTATTACTATAGTATTTCTTGGAAATACTATAGTATTTTAATTCTAGTATAGTATTACTATAGTATTTCTTGGAAATACTATAGTATTTTAATTATGGTATAGTATTACTATAGTATTTCTTGGAAATACTATAGTATTGCTTATTAACCCTCGGATGACGGGCGCGGAATCCATTTGGACCCAGAGTTGACAAACATTCCACCTAAATTCTAATTTCGTGGCAGTCGCATTATTAAATTATTAAATTATTAATCTTGGTCTCAACGAAGAGCATTTAACAATATACGAATGGAAAATTAATCCTAAACAAAATTAATCCTAAATAAAATTAATCATAAAGAAAATTAATCGAAAATTAATTAAAAACGTCCATCGTCCAAAGATAAATTCCGACAGCTATTATTAACCCCTCACCGTATTATAACGAGTCTAACTCTAGATAGAGATTACTAATAAGAGCTAATTAAGTTGTTATTCCATCATGATTTTCCATTATTATTCCATTCTTTCAAGCTGCAATAAAATTCAACCCTCTTCTCCAAAACATTTAAGCGTTCAACGAAACATTGGCCCACGATAAATATAAATTTGCTTCCTCCTCTAAGAAATTATTCCAATTAAAAAACTTCCAGTCATCGCAACCGCGAGGAAAACGGTGCGACAAGGGGTTGAACTCGCCAGAATTCGCCAGCCCCGAAGTCCGCGGTCGCGGCGAACCGCGTCGAGAGAAAGTTCACCTGTCCAGGTGACATTCATCGGTTTATCGAGCCGGCCTAACGAACGCGGGGGCACCTTCGTCACCCCGAAAATAACGAGCGGACGCATTGTTCGCGGCGTTGTCTGACGGCGTTGCGGAGGAGCCTCGTAAAAACGGTCGCGTTCATGCATATGCAAGGCGTCGCCCAAATTTATGCGGACGTTCGCGTCCGTGCCCGTATCTCTATTCAGATTCCGACTGTATCTTTTATTTTCCGTTCGGTGGCACGGAGGGGTTGGGGAGGGAGGGCTAAACGAATCGCGCGAGGTAACGAGCGGCGAAATACGGGGACGCTCGATAAGAGCGCGCGAGAGGTTACGGGCGCGATGAAATACCGCGGGAAGAAACGGGCCGCGGGGAGCCCGCACCTACGCGAAAGGGGTTGGGGGTTAATATTCTCCGTTTCGCGTTGGCCGGCGCGGCGGACGCGTCGCTCGTTTCAAGGATCGAACGGTTATCGAAGCTCTCTGCTTACCCCGCGAGCCCGCCGGTCCTGGTCCAGAGAGACGTCTCGGGATCTGAAACACGAAGAAACAACGGTTAGTTCGAAAAGGAAAGGGGGCGGGGCCACCGCCGCTGGAACTTTCGCAATTTACAGCCCGGAAAATTCCCGCAAGGGCGATCGCGTGACCGAAAGCGGCGGCCGAAAGCGCCGCGAGCAACGAGCCGCGAAGATGCTGCCGCCGGGCGAACGGTTTCGCGGAGATCCGTCGAGACTGCAAAAATTGTGGAATTTGAAGAATTGCCTGCTAAGAATTTTTGCGAATTTTTGCGAATTTTTGCGAAATTATAGACAACGTCGACGAGCTCCGAATGAGTTTCCGTTCCTTGACGATGCTCCGTCGAATTCGTATTTCATCGCTGGGTGATCTTGAACAGTTGTGTTCGACGAGTATACTCGTCGTGGAGGAGTGGCAGTACAGTAATGTCTCTCTAATTGACGCTCAGATTGTATTGTTGTATTGTATTATTATATTGTATTGTATTGTATATATTGATACTTATCTTAAATTAAATTCCAAGAAATATAACCCTCTAATTACAGTAAATTCTCCCTAATTGACGCTCAGATTGTACAAAAAATTTGGGAAAAGCAGATTATTCGAGTCTTGCGGTTCGTTTTTATAGTTACTGTTGTTGCTATTGTGTCAAGAACTATAAAAACAAGCTGCAAGGCGCGAATAATCGGATCTCCTTTTCCCAAATTGTCCATTTTTGTGCACAATCCGAGGGTCAATTAGAGAGACATTACTGTATTTTGTGTCACGACGAGTATACTTTTCGCGCGTAAAAACTAGCGACCATTGGCTATTTAAATTGTAATTTTAGTGGGAACAAAATGTATATTCTTAAAAAAATATATATATATATATTCTCAAATTTCAAGATGTTTGAGATATTTTGAGGCCAATCCAACGCGGAGGTATTAGCATTGTTATAAAAATAAGATTAGCATAAAATCTGCAGTCCACATATTGCTAAACAATGGATATCTTTATACAAAATAAAAGTTTTCAAAGCGATTTTATATAAAAGGGACAGAAATTAAATAAATTATTTCTCCAAATAGGGGTGTGAGAAATAGCTGTGTCTTAGGTTCATTCTCTAGCACAATTAATGTTGTATTTATCAAATAAATAAATCGTCGAATTTCTACATTCAACGAAATAAAACAAAACAAAATAATACAAAAATCTACTATAATATATCCTATTCGATAATTATAAAATGCGTCACAAACCGCACAAAATCCAACGCTCTTTATAAAACATAAATTTACGTAAAAATCCGTCGTAACCATCGAATTAAATTAGAGACACCGGTACAGCTCGGAACGTCCCAGATTCTCTGAAACGCGATTCAACGAAGAACAGCTAGGAGATCCGTGGAGAACGTATGCACATAAGTTCCGACGACATCGGCCGGTATTTTTCTTGAGGAGAACGCGCCGCTGTGATCAGCGAGTCCGTGTGCCGTCGCGTACAGCCGGCATAAGTGGGTTCGCGGGATTTGCATGTCAAACACGTCAGGCTTAAAATTTCAACAGCTTAATTCCTTTTCTCTTTCTTCTTTCCCATCGAGTTTCCGAGCTTGTCTTCCAGCAGGATTAGAACGAATTCTCGCGGCGGAACGCGGTCGTCCCGATTTTACGAGAATGAGAGAGACAGAGACGGGGGAGGGGGTTATGGGGTGGTGGGTGCGGGTGACGGCGCGGGTGGGACACGACTCTTTCGTTAACTCGGAATAGTCGTTTACAGGGAATGGCCGGTGTTATCCCGCGCAACCACATAAATTATCCACTCGAACTCGCCCGTTGCGTTCCCTAGGAAATTGGGTTGGTTGACGTTAATGCGATGTTCGTGGCTCAACCGGCCGGCAGAGTTCCGTCGCAGAGACGCGTTTCCGGCAAGGACCGCCGACCATAAATTGCTAAACAGCCGCGCTTTAAACAAGCCGGCCGGCCGCGGAAGGGCCGGCCGATGCGTCGCGAGTCTCTTAAATAATCATTATGATCCATTTAACGGCCGCCTTTTCCGCGACGCAGCGCCGCGCACCCCGACGCTGTCAGCCCTGTGCAACCATTAATTACAGTCTCGCGATGCTCAGGGTTCCTAACGAATCGGCCTCGTTTTGGAATATAACGCGAATATAATGATAATTGCTTCTTTTCGGATGCTTTCGAACGAACGCGGTTGCGTTCTTTCTTCTCGGAAGACAATACAAAATAGTCTGTTTGTCTACGAATCGTGTTACGTGGCCTCCGAATTGCCTTCAAATTGTATTATGGGGCCTCTGAATTGCCTTTGAATTTCATTCGGATTGGCTTCGAATTGACTTCGAATTTCTTTCGAATTGTCTTCGAATTTCCTTCGAATTTCATTCGAATTGTATTCGAATTGCATTCGAATTGTATTTGAATTGCCTTCGAATTTTCTTCGAATTGCATTCAAATTTCCTTCGAATTACATTCGAATTTCCTTCGAATTGTATTCGAATTGCATTCGAATTTTTTTCGGATTTCCTTCGAATTTCCTTCGAATTCCATTCGAATTGGCTTCGAATTGCCTTCGAATTTCCTTCGAATTGTCTTTGAATTTCCTTCGAATTGTTTTCGAATGTTCTTCGAATTTTCTTCGAATTGTCTTCGAATGTTCTTCGAATTGTCTTCGAATTGCCTTCAAATTTCCTCCGAATTACCTCCGAATTGCCTTCGAATCGTGTCACATGGCCGAACGTTATCAAATCGAGTCCCATGGCCTCTGAATTCCCTTCGAATTGTGTTAAAAAATTAGAAATAAAAAAGTTAAGTCACCGTTTTACACCAGCATGCTGACCGCCGTCTTTTTCACCGTCTGCCCCGAGTTTCCACAAAAACGATCCAACGAGGCCCGAAGAATCGCGACTTAGTATTCTCGAATCTGCCGGTTTCAATTCTGAGCTCCGAACATTTCCTTCAGAAATTACTGTACACCGAGATCACTGTGACGTCACGCGGATGTCTCGTCTTAGCTTCAGACTATCCGAAGCCATATTTACGCATAGTTGTGTATGTTCGAAGAGTCGAACGGTTGATTCGCCGATCCCTGGCTAAATAAACGATCGACGTGCTCCGGTGGCGTCTCGCGGAACAATTTTTTTTATCTGTCCAGCTTCATGAAATTTCGCCGGTTCACCGGAGATACTCGCGGTCCGTCCGATTCGCCGATGAAAATGCAATGGGAATCGAGCGGTTCGATCGACGCTGGTCTCGGCGATCGGGCCGGAATAAAATACCTATAAATACAAATCTATTTGCGTGAAACGGCGCGGGTTATATATACACGCGTGCGATCGATAGTTTCCGTAGAGTTTAATATAAATGTCATGCTAGTATTTTCCGCTCGCGCGAGTGCGACTGCGAGGGGGTCAGGCGGAGGGTCGGAGCAACGCTTGCGCGAGAGAAAGAGGGAGAAGGAGAGCGATAGATAGAAATAGAGAGAGAGAGAGAGCAAGAGAGAACAAGAGAGAGAAAGAGAGAAAGAGAGAGAGTCCTCGACCTCGCAGGAACGAGTACAGCAAAGCACGGCACACTCTGTCGTGCACCGAATAAATACGAGTCCGCCGATATCCGCCAATAAAATAGGACGTCCCATAAATCTACATAAAGCTGTAATGATCGAGAACCGAACGGTAACGCGATCCGAGCCGAATGCCCGGCTGCATTAAACTTTAACCGAGCGACCCTGCCTCTCTTAGGCGAGCGCCGGCGTCGTTAAAGCATTAGGCAAACATCCGCGGCGTTAATTTAGCAAAGTGGGAATCTCGCGTCCTTCCCGATGCGACTCCTGCCAACCGCCAATCCGGCTGTAAGCCCCGGAGAGAGTCCCATTAAAAATAAACAGATTTATCTATCTATCTCTCTCTTCCTCTCTCTCTCTCTCCTTTCGACGTCATTAATCCACCCTCGACGACTCTCTCGCCAAATCCGTGAGAAACCGCGCGCCGAGGGACGCCGCTCGTTTGCATCCTCTCCTCTCTTACTCTTTGATTTTTACGCTGTCCCGTTCTTCCCATCCTCTAAGGGAGACAAACGGAACAAGGTAAGCAGAACAGAGGCTGCCCCCCCACTCGGCTATTAACAGACCATTCGCGTTCGTACGCGAGATCGCGATCACGAGGACACGCGTCGAGGATCCGATCGTCGATCTTCCAGGAATTTTACTCGACAACTCGTGTCGTGCTTTGGAAAGATGCAGTCGGAGGTTTCTTTTTCAATTTGTACCGAATATATATTTTATATATTTGTTCATTTATTTTCACTTATTTATTTATTTCTATGTATTTATTTTTATATATTTATTTATATTAATTTATTTTTATTCATTTATTTCTATGTATTTATTTTTATGCATTTGTTTCTATGTATTTATTTTTATGCATTTATTTCTATGTATTTATTTATATTTCTTTATTTTTATTTATTCATTTCTATGTATATTTATTTATATTTCTTTATTTTTATTTATTTATTTCTATGTACTTATTTTCATTCATTTATATTACTATGTATTTATTTAGTTTTATTTATTTATTTCTATATATTTATTTTCGTGTATTTATTTATATTCATTTACTTATATTTATTTATATCTATGTATTTATTTATTTATATTTATTCTTTTGTATTTATTCTAAAATAATAGATGATATTTCAATTATTATGTGAGATTTTATTGTCGGTGTTCCGCAACCCCTCGATGCACTTGCGCCGGGGAATAGAAGAGGATTGTTCCAGGGGTAGACACGACCTGTGTATAATGTTTTATAGCAATTGCGCTCTATAATGATCGAATTCCTTCAAACGTATATTCTGTTATTATTGCACGAATTGCATTATACTTCAGCCGGGACATTTTTCTCGAAGGCACGGTCCGCCGCGTTTGCCAGTCGATCGCGCGACGATTCGATCGATTTGAAAGAAGCGTCGTCGTTCCTCTCTTTCTCTCTCTCTCTCTCTCTCTCTCTCTCTCTCTTTCCT